TAAACATCATAATAACTTTTAATACAATTATAATCATAATTATAATTATAATACTTTATAATAATTTTAAAATACATCACTTTACAACAATTTCAAATATATTTCTACTCAAGGCAAAAGCCCTGACTCATTTAGATTCGAGGTGTGTGTCCAGCCACATGTACATGTTGGTTAATTTCAATGGAGCAAGGAAGCACGATGACCGAGAGTTTCTTTAGGAAAAGCCAAGGTCTAATAATGTCTTGCTGGGAGCAGTTTTCCATAATCAGCGGAGTAGAATGTGCCTGTTTTCATGTTATGGCAAACAAAAAGTTGTTTTCCAGATTGAACTATAAAATTTAAAATTTAAAATAAAAAGTAAGCTTTCTAATATTAAGAGGTTATTTATTTATTTATTTAAGGTTTGTGCTTTATAATTAGTATGATTTAAATTGTAAAATAATAAATTTTATTATTATTATTATTATTATTTTGCAACAATGTAGTGGGCCTATGGGACAGCTTTTGTTAGTTGGTTATGAGTTGTTGCTAAGCCAAAAATGATTGAGAAGTTGTTTGTAATTTTTCCCTTTTGAAAAGTTATGTGGTCAGCGTTATTACCTGCTTTGAAAGAGGATTATTTTTATTTTTATTTTTCGGTAAAATCTTTGAAAGAGGATTATGTTTTCACATACTTTACCCTAAATCATTGGCCTACAAAACTCATTAGAGATTTGGTCCATCGAGTCAATTACGGCGCTGATCCCTCCGTCCAATTTTGATTGCCTTCTATGCAAATTGCTTATTGGGTTAACTTTTAGACTGAGCACAGACAATTTACGTCAAAATTTAAATAATTTAATAATAATTTTTTTATAAAAAATAAAAAATTTTAAATTAAAATTTTATAATATATAAATAAGATGAATTAAAAAATAAAAAAATTTATTTTTTAAAGTGTAATTCAATATTTAAAAAAAAGTTCATACCATTGATAATTGAGTTAATAGTTGGAGTAGTATTTTTATCTATATATAGTAATTCAAAAAAATTTACAATAATAATTTAAGAAATTAACTATTAATTATTTTTTAACAGATAAATAAAACATAATCTAAATTTTTTATGAAAGTATTTTAACTCTTTATGTCGTCTTTTTAAATATGCATCGAAACCAATACTCTTCTTACCTTTTTTTAAAAAAAATTATTTTTACATATGATAACACATTATGTCCTTTCACTCGTTTCTTATGGTTGAAGCCTGAAATCTCAAGTTTTTTTTCTTAGATTTGACCATCTCATGAATTTTTTTGTGACTCTCTCTATGGCGGTATGGTACGAACAATGATGAATGATGATGCTCAACAAAAGCTGGAACATTGCAGCTGTCTAGACTCCTCCGAGATGCAAAGGCAAAACTGGTCGGTGGGGACATTCAATTCGTTAAAGCAGCAGCAAAAGAGTTGCACCCTTTCACATTGTGGTGGTAGGAGAAAAAAGGGAAATTAAAGGAGGAAAGAAAATGGCAGCAAATGGACAGAGCTGAACAAAAAAAGGGTCTCAACCCACTAACAAGCCACCACTGAAGTAGGGTAGGCTAGTGCGCCATTGTGCCACGCTTCCTTCTTACCGCCCCACCACATCTGCTCTTTTCTCCTTTTTTTATTTTAGTAGT